AGGATCTAGAAAATTTTAATGACACAGAACATTCATCTTTGTGTACACAGTATCTAACAGACAAGCTAACACATTGTAGCTGTTCAACAGATACCTGTAGAAGGAGTGCACAGCAACATCTGACCTGAGGAATTGTTTAGTCTTACTGATTCCACTCACCTCCACTTTAATATCATTCTCTAACTCTGCATCAAGGAAATCCAATGTTACTGGCTCCTGAGATTTGGGATTCTACACAGAAAACAATAATAATTAGGTACACGTAACATTATACAATGATGCTGTGTATAAAACAATTCAATGGGTATTTATGAAATTAATTGTGCAAAAATTACTTACCTAGGATACAATAACTATCTAAAGGTATCTTCTTTTTCATATATATATATATAAAAAATATATATAGCTTACATATATAAAAGCTAGAGATTGAGCTTTCAGTGCAGGCAATCTTAATTAATAACTAAGTGAAGAAAGTCTCATTTTGAGTGGTGTATTTGATACTACATTTCTAATCACAAGCTCTTTGGGCACACTACTTTTGAAGAATCATTCACAACTTTCTTTTCATTAATTAGCATGGGAAAGGGGCAAAATATAGCCATTTGGATAACTTATTTGGCCATAAAACAATGGCAACATGTAGGCATACTTTTAAAATTTGTAAAAAAAAAAAAAAAAATGTGTATGATAAAATGTTTTAAAATTATGTTTACATTTGCCAAGTAAAACATTCTATTGGACCTGTTCTTCCTTCTGAAAGTGTATAAAGAAAAGGTGCAAGTGTGCTTCATATATTTCAATCTAATAAATTTTATATTTTAATAATTCAAATGACATCAGAATGCGTAAGATAAACTTGTGGTTGTCATAAAGATTTTAAGATTAGCTATTATAATTAAAGTCTTACTAGGATAATAACCCCTGGGTTCACTGAATACTATTTCCTATTGCTTCTTCTTGCTGGTATATAATAATAAATAAATAACACTGGGGAATAAGATAAATTCTTATTTATCGATATCATTATATAAAATGATACTGTTAGTCTGGCAAATTTACCTCATATTTTCTCAATTGCAAAATGAAGATTCATTGAACTATTTGATAAACAAAATACAGTTAATTCCTCTATAACTTCCTAAGTAATGTAACATGTCATACTAAAACTTTAAAGCTTACTAGACCAATAAAATCATAATAGGTATATGTAATTTATAATGGCAAAATTTTATAAATTGAATTTTTAATTTTTATTAAAATGTTACCTAAATCTGATAACTAGATACCAGTAACAAATGCAAACTATGCTGAATTAGTGCAAAGGTCATTCAAACTTTAATAATATAAGCCTCACAGGCTCTTTCAAAAGATATGCGGATCATCACTGTTTTAAGCACTGTTTTAGGAAGAAACTGACCAAGACAGTTGCAATAAGTAAAAATGTACTAAAATTAAGCATATTTTATCAATATGTTGAATGACATAGTATACATGGCAAATATTTACTGACAAAAATGCCTTCCTTCAAAGAGTAATTCCACCTAAAGATGAAAATTTTTTATTGCTATGGTTTTTGATAAATGAACATTCTTAAAGGCAAATTTTAAAAAACAGCCATGTCTGGCACTTTAATTGAAAAAATATTCACTGCTTAAGTACTCTATCGCTATCATCAGAAGATTCTAGAATACTGAAAATAAGTATTAAATTTTTCAAAGGTGAAAATGCTGACCAGTATTGGTAAGCTACTGATGACATCTTACTGCCTGAAAAGGAAATACTCCTTTGAAATGTAGTGTATTTTAAAAGAAGAAAAAAAAAAAGCCAATGTTGAAAATCCTTCTAATTTCTTTGTTTAAAAAATGAAACCTAGGAAGTCCCTAACAAAAGGATACTCTAAAGTTTACAATATTATTCAGCATTGCTCATTTAATGTCCCATGAAATAAACCGTCTTCACACAAACACCGTATCAGCATTAAAATTTTAACAAACTCACTGCAAAACAAAGTCAAAATAATGAAAATAATAAAAAGTAAACAGAAATAAGAGTATTTATCTTACATGCAATGGATAATGCATAGCATGACCAGACCCAAACAGCATGCATGGAGGAGGCATTATCAGGAAGAATTGGCAATATGAAGATCATGTCCCAATCCAGCATACAAAGACACAGAGAAGAAAATGAAATCATAAAAGAAAAATCTCAATGCATAACTTGTACTTTTAAAATAGCAATCTAGCTGACCATTTTTTTAAAAGATCCATCAAGGGCATGGTGACTACAAAATTCAAAAGCGTAATGTTTCAATAAGAAAGCACCAAGAGAGGCTGAAGAACTGGAAAATAGTCTCGCATACCCATTATTTTTGTTGGATATTTAAAATACCTAGTATTTCTCATTTGCAAAATGTGGATATCAATGGAAATAACTACCATACCATTTGTGGAAACGGAAGAATGCAAAGTTAACAAATTTTAAATTGAAATAATTACTAGATAGTATTACAAATGATACTTAGTTCAAAAATATCCTTCAAATTGAGGAGTCTTGTGTGGTTGCTAGTTTGCCATTTAGAGTTTTCTTAGAATGAAAACAAAAATAAAACAAACCATTTTCAGGTTGTTTATTTTTTAATTATATTGTTAAGAGTTACATGCAATATTTGAGGTTGCTGCAAAAACAAAAATTCACTAAAATGCACATGACTGCAAAAGTATAAGATAATACATAAAAAGAAACATGCAAGGATAGTAACAAAATAATTTACTATATCAAGAAAGGCATAAACATAATTTTAAACTTTATAGGAATTATAAAAGATATGAAGACTTTCATATGCAACAATATGAAATTCAGTTTGTTCTAAAATTCTAGCACTGGAAGGGAGTTAAAGCTTTTCAACTAGTTCAGTGGCTCTGCACTTTAGAACTCCATGGGGAGCTTTAAAAATTTACTATTTAGAGGCCGGGCACGGTGGCTCATGCTTGTAATCCCAGCACTTTGGCAGGCCGAGGCGGGTGGATCACGAAGTCGAGAGATTGAGACCGTCCTGGACAAGGTAATGAAACCCCATCTCTACTAAAAATACAAAAATTAGCTGGGCATGGTGGCCAGAAGCGGTAATCCCAGCTACTTGGGAGGCTGAGGCAGGAGAATCATATGAACCCGGGAGGCAGAGGTTGCAGTAAGCTGAGATCATGCCACTGCACTCCAGCCTAGCGAATGCCACTGCACTCCAGCCTAGCGACACAGTGAGACCCATCTCAGAAAAAAAATTAAATTAAATAAACGAAACAAAACAAAAACGATTTAGAGGCCTGGTGCCATCACTGCCAAATTAAATCAGAATTTTCAGAGGATGAGGCAGGGAACTGACATACATATTTAATTTCCTAGGTGAATAGTGTAGGATGGAAACTAGTGACTAGTTCAATTCTCCTGCTTTTCAGATGAAGAAATTGAAGCACTACAGGATTTAGTGGAGTGCTCAAGAACAGTGTTGGCTATTAGAACCAAACTAGCACTCAGTTCTACTACTTCATAGCTTATCCATCTCTTCTTAATGATATATTATCTCTTCGTTTTAATGTCACCCACTGTTTTATGTATTTATTCTTTTTTTTTTTTTTTTGAGATGGGTCTCGCTCTGTCAGCCAGCCCGGAGGCAGTGGCACAATATTGGCTCACCGCAACCTCTACCTCCCGGGTCCAAGCGATTCCCTGCCTCAGCTTCTCGAGTAGCTGGGACTACTGGCATGTGCCACCATGCCTAACTAATTTCTTTTGTATTTTTTTATTTTTATGTTTTAAGTAGAGACAGGGTTTCACTATGTTGGCCAGGCTGGTCTTGAACTGCTGACCTTGTGATCCGCCCTCCTCAGCCTCCCACCGTGCTGAGATTACAGGCGTAAGCCACCGCGGTTGGCCTTAATGTCACCAACTTTTTTAAAGAAATGGTAGGCTTACCTATAAAATCTTAAATAATGTTGAACATCCTTTGAAATTCTGAAATTCTCTTGCTAAGCTGTGGGAAGTATCCTTTTATGCTGATTATTAATAGTTTTACTGTGCATATAGAAATATTGCATACATATGATAACGGAAGTTTTGTTGCCAAAAGGAAAAGCTTTTGCAATGAGTTTGCCAGGTAATAAAATTAACTACTTATTTGCACTTTGGTACATTTTTAATTAGCTAAGGGAAATTTCTTTAATGTCTAACCCCAAATTACACTTTTTAGAAGTTTTGGCTTAAAATCTGTGGCTTATGGCAACTGTCACATAGGAATTGTATTTTATTTCCACTTAGAAGTAAATTTACAAGCAAATTGTTAGGATCACATGAATTTGACATTAATTTTATAATTTTAATAACAAATTTATTTTTAGAAGCCATCTCTTTATGATTTCTCTGATTATTAACCTGATTCCATAATTGACTTTGCAATCTTTAGTTAGCCAATACATACCCTCTACCATTATTAATAACATTTTTGCTCTGGTTTATTAAGAAATGATGCTCATCTCCATTTCATGCTCTGGAAGCTTGATGTCAGGAAAGGCAGCTTTAATTATATAAGCTTTAAACAGAAGCTTAATCTCAACTCGGATTTAGCAAATTTGAAAGCACTGTTAAATCTACCTTCATTCACCGTTACCTGGACATTGGGTCTCCTTTTTCTTAAATTAACTGTTGGTATACCTACACCAATAGGCTGAAGCAACAGAAAAATGGTAATTCATCATACTACATATCAACATAGGTAGGGGTTCTATCCTATAATCAATTTTCCTCAGATATTTCCTTGATTGGAAAAAGATCTAAATGATAGACTTAGAATTCAAAGTATTTGGTAGGTATGGAGTTCATGAGTCAATAAAATAAAAATTTAAAAATATCTTCAACGAATAAAAACTGTTACATGAATAGTCATTTTTAAGAAAAATGACTATTATTTTTCTTTTTCTAGAAAAGTACATATTTGGGAAGTGGGAAAAAAGGTTGTTTGTCTCAGATTAGTTTTCCATCGATTTGACCAAAAAAAGAAAAAAAAAGAAAAGAAAAAGAAAAGTAACAATTGTTAGAATTTACACGACCCAAATATAAATACTTTTAATGTCCATCCCTCGATTTATATGTTGAAATCCTCATCCCCAGAGATGACGGTATCCAAAGGCTTTTGGGAGGTGCTTAGGTCCTGGTTGGTGGGTCCCTCCTGAATGGGATTGGTGCCCTTATAAAAGAGGCCCTAGAGAGAGACGTCTCACCCCTTCTCCTCCGTGTGAGGTTAGAGTGAGAAGATGGCTGTGAATAGGGAGGCAAACCCTCACAGAACACCAATCTGCCCAAGCCTTCATCTTGTACTTCCCAGTTTTCAGAACTGTGAGTTACTAAATTCTGTTTATAAGCCACCCAGTCTATGGTATTTTGTTATAGCAGCCTGAATGAACTAAGAAAATTATATGATATTAAAAAGTTTTAATGTTTAATATTTGTGCCTTTGTTTTCTGAAGTGATACCAAATGTTCTATCTGTGGAACTAATGGAGAATGTAACCATAACAGTGTAGATTTATTTTAAATATTAACTTCTCAAACATAGATTATGCACAATTTCCTATACAATACATATTTCTTAGAATTGAACAAAATGAGGTATCTAACTAAGTAGACCTAACCTGGTTATTTCAATGACACAAAATGGAAGAAAGTTAAAATGCTTTTTGTAATAAAGCAGAATATATAATTCAACACATGTCAAAATGTGGTCATGCTGGTAAAAGTACAAGCTTAGAAAATGTTATGAGTCCTTAAAAATTAAATATGTGAAAAATCCGTAGCTATTTTATTTAATGATATTCTGGGGGCTTTTAAAGAATACTCATCTACAAAAAAACCTTCACTGAAATATTTTTAATTAAGGTTCCCATATCAGGAGGAAAACACAGGCATTGATCAAAAATACTTGCATAACATTAGACTTTCACCTTGTTAAATAATAATGGCTGCTATAGATAAGCATTATTTTTCTTCACTTGTATTAATGAATTTCTGATAAAATAATTAAGATTAATTTTGTTAGTATACTGTCACCATATGTTCCTTTGTATTTGCGTATTTCTAAAGCAATTATCTTATGCTATGTCATCCTTTTATGAGGTCTTGTATCAATCTGTATAGCGTCCTCCTTTAGCCACAAAACGGAAATCATAATATTTACTGAGTTAATGATGAGAATTCACAAGCATATTTAATTCACAAGCATGAACTTCAGAAATAAAGAATAAACTGATATTCAGAATAATTTCTTTTTCATGGTGTTCTGAAATAGTATTTTTGGAGATGTCTTTCTGTTACATATTAATATTTGCTTTAGTAAAATCCAAATATAAAGATATGAAAAGCTAATTTATAATATGGAAGAAAAATATCAGTTGGACTTTAATGAAGTTGCTAAAGAATTTGTTTTCTCTGTAATATTATAAATTTTAGTGAATTATTTCAAATATGAACCAAATATAGGTTAATGTCATTCAAATAGTAATATTTTCTACATAAATATTGGTTATTAGTGGAATGTAGAAAAGAAAAAAACTTCAAATTATTACTTCTCTTTGACTATGAAAACCACCTAAACTGTTACAGCCATTAGATGGTAGATTTATACATATATATCTCTCCATCATATATGCATTATTGTCCTTATTCTTCTTTTTGTCTATGATATATTTTAGTTCCTTTGGGTGAGGGTTAAGGTTTATAATTATAAAACTAGAGATCCTTCACACCCACCCTTCATCACATTACACTTTTTTTTTTTTTTGAGATGGAGTTTCGCTCTTGTTGCCCAGGCTGGAGTGCAATGGAGTGGTCTCGGCTCACTGCAACCTCTGCCTCCCAGGTTCAAGAGATTCCCCTGACTTAGCCTCCTGAGTAGCTGGGATTACAGGCAAGCACTGCCACGCCCGGTTAATTTTGTATTTTTAGTACAGACAGGGTTTCACCATGTTGGCCAGGCTGGTCTCGAACTCCTGCCCTCAGGTGATCCACCTGCCTCGGCCTCCCAAAGTGCTGGGATTATAAGTGGGAGCCACTGCACCCAGCCCACGTTACACTTTTATTACTTTTGAATTACTTTAGTTAGGGGAACTTTAATTGAAAATACATTGTATATACAAAGCCCAAACAATAATACTGCAAAATTATAAAAAAAATTAAGATATAAAAAGATAAGTTTTCAAGCTATAGCAAAATCATAGGATGATTAGCCAAACATAAATTACTCTTTTAAGAGGAATTTAACAGGTTATGCTTTTAAAGAGCTGTGGTAGTTTAATAATAATATGAAAAAGTACTTATGCAACATTTATATTAAAATAACACATTTAGCATAACTAGGGTGATCAACAGCTACATGTGCTACAAGTAATTATATGATGAATTTGATATGGAAATAAGTTCCAAAGTCAGATAAATTAAAGTAGACATCAGTTATAAAATGTAATATTATTTAATGTATTAAAATAGATAATTAATATATTACATTTAATGTAGTTTTGCATTCAATATCAATAGTTCTCTTATGGATTTGAACAATATTTAAATGACACAACTGTGTGTATGTTCACACACTTGTGGTATATTCTAATATATGGCTAACATTACATATCCATGACTCGGGAGAAAGAAGTAGTATGCATAAGTCTGCATGGTTTAAAGGATCTTCAATATTATCTTCAAAGTTAAGCAATAACTAAACAGATGCTTCTAAGGTTACAATTATAAGACTTTGATTAATTTTATGTCTAAATAAATTTTGCTATTAATGCCCTGTGAAGCAGTTCATGAAGAGTAAAATGAGTTGTACAAGATAATTGATGAAAATATCTTGAGAAAATAGGCATAAAAATTAAGATAATATGGTTCATCGATGGCATTTTATCTCTTTCAGATTAACTTGCTGATTAATAAATATTTCCCATTTCTGAAGCCCATCTCATGAATTTTACTCTTACATCTCTTTACAGGCCTGTCCTAAAGTAAAAGGAAAACCATTCTGGGAGATGGAAAGCAGAGTTAATTACTAGAAAAGAAGGGCAATAGAAAATGTGACCTGGACATAGACGAACATTACTAATATTTATCAGGTTCAAACTCATGTCTGGAGCAATATCCTTTATTATCTTACAGCCTTAAAATCAAAGTCAGAAGTGGGATGCATGAAATTGAGGCTCAGTGGGTGATAATGGCTGTCTTTGAGATAAAAATATTAGTGCAGCTAAATTGGTAACAGAAAATGAAAACTGCTTTCACTCTTTCATATATTATGATGTGTTGTCTTGTCATCTAAGAAGAGAGCCACGTTACAGACTGTACTTTGATATTTAGTGTTATATAGTAAATTTTAAAACAACAATCCTATTAAGAACATTAGTCATTAATTCTACAAAACACTAACCAGTGTAAACAAATTATATACCGACCTTTGGCTGAAGATTTGGATGTAATAAAACATAACCATTAGGATCGATTGCAAAGTAATACCCATTGGGGCATAGCTGGAAAAGAAAAAATATAAGCTTAGATACGCCTGAGTCACAATTAGAAATCTATATTCTTTTAAATACATAATGTATTAAATACACATTTTATAGTATGTTGAAAGATAACATGGAATCATTTTATTTTAGAGATGCTTTTAACCATATAGTTCCTTTGCTAAGATAACTGCCCATAATTTTTGAGAATTACCTAAGTGCTTTGTGACCAAGCTAAATTAGTACAGAGTTCTAAACTAGAAAGGGTATCAAAAGAACAAATTTCATCTTACTGTAAAACGTGGTGTCAGTCTTTTAATATCTTCCAAAGACACATCTACCCCCATCACACCAAGAATCAGCTGGTTCTATAATAAGAGAGCAAAAATGGCATTTTATATCAAAAATTTACATATTTTTACACAATTATCATATGCTCATATTTTGCTGGCATTTTGGTTATATTCCATATTAGTTTAAACGTATATATAGAGTGAAGCATTCTTACTGTCAATTTACAAGGATTCTCAGCTTTGTTTCCTACAACTTTATCATCATTATCATTTACCTTAGCAAAGAAAATCTAGATAATTGAGGCTAAAATATATAAAAGATAAACAAAAATGTTTGACACTTCTTGTACCCTTTTCTTCTAATATTTATTTTCACTGCTATCGTACAGTCAGCGCTTATCGCTGTGTGTCTACGTATGTGAGTTTAGACTGACTTTATGGTTTACTATAATTAAGAAGCCACAAGAATGTCCAGCTTAAAGATTAGACAATATAGAATAAGAACACATTGGATTTTTGCTGCAGATAGTTCCTGCGTATGTAACTATCCTGAAAGTATGTGACCATATTGGTGATAAAATCCTAAAAACACTATTTCTAGTCGCGGCTAATAAATTCTATATACCAAGCAACAGGCATCACAGTTTTAGGTGCAAGTAGAGGAGATTTGTGGCAAACTGCCATCATGATCTTCCATGGGACATAAAGATGGAAATTGTGTTAAAATTTTGAGTCCAAAATTGTTGTTTCAAATGGAATTATATAAATTATAAAATAATAAATTTGAAATGTGCTTGCAAAAAATTATAAAATCTAGTAATTACAAAAACATTTAAACTTTGTGGAGGTACAGATAGAGTAAGAAAGTTCTGTCAATAACTATGCTCTTTTCCATGAACCAATCCTAGTCTGAGCAAAAACTTCCCAACTGGAGCAATCTCTTAGTTCACAGTGAGATTTGTGAACACGTATGAGAAAGTTAGAGAGTTACTCTTTTATGAGTTACAATATTTAGAACCTGCAGATAGTTAAGAATGGTCATGGGCCCCCAAAGAGAAATAACTGTTTTCTATGGCCTCCTTATTAAAATAAGGAGTTCAACTGAGATATATAATAACTGATCAAACAACGCTTAACTGCAACAGACTTCATGAAACCATAAACTGGAAATAAATATTCACTCAAATCAAGTATATCACCTATATTATAAAATCAGTCTCTAGTATTAAAAAACTCTTAACTTCAAAATCTCAAATTCCTTCTGAATCAAACTAAAAAACTGGAATGCAATCCTATTTAAAATCAAAAGCATTTAACAAATAAGACATAATCAGTATAAGATACGTATTTTTTAGAACTTTTAAATAGGCATTTTACTGCACTGACCAAAAAACCAGTGCTATAAAAATTAAGCATTCTATGACATTATTCTTCTTGTACCCTAAAATAGAAAAAAATAAAGAGAAGTATTAATTTAAGTCAGATCCTTAAGTTACAAGATAATTTTTAAAAAGCTACTGTTTGGGAGTTGGGGAGGAATGATTTAATATACCAATGTACACCTGATACAAACATCACCATGCTTTTGGTCTTTGGATTTTTCTTTCTAAACTCCATTAATATCTCAGATGGATTCTTAAAATGTGCACACAATATTACTGTCCATTTATCATATAATTACTCCCAGAGTCTGACTCTGTTCTCATCAGGTCATAGTTAAGTGGAGTTAAGCTGAATCTTGGCTCTAGGGCAACAGAGAGTTTGACCTGCATTTCCTTTTTCCCAGGTGGTTATCGCATAGGCAGCTGTTGCCTTTGACCTCTGGCCTCACAAGACAGTTACACTGCATGTATTTTCTTATGGAAATATCTTATCCATGTTGAGCTTCAACGTCACAGTTTGTCATTTATTATTATTAATTTTATCAATTAACTTTTAACCTTTAAGTTTGTCTTATTTTCAAATTGGCCGGTTATGTTGAAGACCGGAAGAGTTCCAGTAATGACAAGTCCCAGTTCCTAAAAATAGATTCAGAGAGAAAGGGCAAATTAAAATTACAATTTAAGCTTTGTCAGAGTGCATTAGCCTTTGATATCTGAGACTGCATTTTATAGTTACTTTACAAAGAGCCAAAAACATTAGTAACTCATTTTGAATATCTACTAAAATTTATTTTTAAAGTATCAATGAAAATATCTTGGAGAAAATTAGGACCTACTAGGCAGCTACTGAAGCATGAAACATTTAAAATAATACTCTAAGATAACTTTAAAAATAATCAACTTACACAACTGGTCAACAGCCTGTATGCATTTCAGTAACTCTGTGTCCTCCCCCTTTTTAATAGTGATAGTTCACCTAATATCAGGGCCTCCATAAGCAGAGTGATAATAAAATATTATTTTAAGTGATTTACTTAGCTTCCCTTTTTGTAGCCTCATGCTTAATTTTTTTATGCCCTAAGCCAAAGACTTCATGCTAAATGACAAATGTGCAGTTGAATGGCATGATAAATAAAATAAACATTCTATTGATACTGCATATCTGGGATATTCTAAGTAAGTGTTATGGTCTTCAGAAGAAGCAATACTACTTCTAAGTAGCCCCCAAAATAAGCAGTACTTTTTGACAAGGTAAAATGATGAAGAAAAGACAACTGAAAGCATCAAATATAAAAGTCTAGTCTGAAGAGTTTAACATAATAGAAATAATGCCATCCTATTAATCGGCACATAATTTAATATATTAAATGAATTCATAGAGATTAGTTGAAATAAACTGATTTTCAAGTCAGAGTTTGCTTTTGTTACTGACATCTATATCCATTATAATTTTTAGCCACTATTTCATGTCAAAACTACCTGTTTATCAAAATCACTCTTTAAAATAATTTTTAAATTGTTTGAAATTTTGAATTTGCTAAAATGAGAAAATATTTTTAATCTTCTCACAAATAGTGATTCCAAATCCAAAGTTCATGAACTTGGAACAGAGTTCTGGAATCAGAACCGAGTTCATAAAGTTGGATTTGGAATCATTATTCATTGGAACATTAAAAATTTTATTAATATCAGGGAGCAAATGTTGTGGTATCAGGTTGTGGTTCATAATTGGGCACATAGGAGGCCCAAATTCAATGGGAATGATGAATGAATTACGGAGGAGAGACAATAATAGAGAAGCTTCCAGCAGACCAAAATACCAAATTATTTGCAACAAATACAACTAAGTAAACAACGAAACATATTTGGGTGCATGATGATTGACATGGTTTGGTTGTGTTTCCACCCAAATCTCATCTTCAATTGTTGTTCCCATAATCCCCACGTGTTGTGGGAGGGATCCAGAAGTAATTGAATAATGGGACGGTTTCCCCCATTCTATTCTCATGATAGTAATTTCTCACGAGATCTGATGTTTTTATAAGTGGCTTCCTCCTTTGCTCAGCACTTATTCTCTCTCCTGCCGCCCCATGAAGAGGTGCCTTCCTCCATGATTTTAAGTTTCCGGAGTCCTCTCCAGCCACATGAAACTGTGAATCAATTAAACCTCTCTTCTTTATCAATTACTCAGTCTCGGGTATTTTTTCACAGCAGCGTGAGAACAGACTAATACAATTATATATAATATATGTATTATATATAATACATATATATGAATAGATTAATTCATAAAACTGTATCCAACAGGTAATTCAGTAAAGATTTGGTGAAGTGTCTCTTAGAGGTATAATCTATATGCAGAGTTTTAAAAATGCTACCGTGGTTTAAGACGAGGTAGATATGGATGTAATCATTTCCTTTGCATTTTTACTTCATACCATTATTTGCTTCTAAAAATGGTAAAATGTAGCCTAAACTGAGCTACTAGATTACTAACATATTGGATTTAAGATAATTATGAATGAACTCATTGGGACCCAACTTGAATTTTTTCTCCTCATTTATTAAGTAGACCAAAAACTTCTACTCTACTCCTGAGCACTGCATGTGTCTCTAGAAAATAAGAGAGAAATAAAACAAGATTTCTCTACCCTGGAATTTTAAAAATATTTTCTAGAGCCCCAACTCTTGTCATATCTCTTTTTATAAAGAGCTTCACTTTGTCTCCTAATTAAAATGAACCTTCCATAATATTGTCCTAATCTCCCCTTATCACCAAAAATGACCAGGGTATCATTTTTTTGATATACTCAGTGCTCCCCCAATTTTTATGCTATACTCCATTTCTATGGTTTCACTTTTCACCACCAACAGCAAAAATCTTACAGTAGTATGACCAGCTAAAATGTCTCCATTTTCTTAACCACAATCCACTTTGCCCCAATATTGGCTTCTTTATTTTGAAGTCAGAATTCTTTTTCTCATTATATCCATTATATTTGGTTTTAAAATATATTTACCTTTTCCTTTTTAATACAACTGTTTATTTTTGACCAACATATATTTTTAATCTGCTGTGTGGAGAGATTATAAACAAATAACTAGGAATATATGGGGATCACTTTATCATTTTCAAACCAGTAAAAAGAATGCTGTATGTGTCCAATGAATAGCAAACTCACGTGTTTCTTCCTTTTTTTTTTTTTTTTTTATAACATTTAGTTTCAGCTTATAGCACAGCACATTTAGAACCAACATTTCCTCCTAATGTCATTTGTGCTATCAGTAAGAACCTTACCAGCAATGCAGACATGCTGGCTAATGAACTTCCAGTCAAAGGAAACACAACAGGGCATCATTATTGACTCCTCCTATCACACACTGTCCTGTGATGAATTTGAGAAGTGCAACATTTTGACCACAGCTTTGGATCACTGTGTGACCTTAAGTAAATATGTGATGTCTAAAAGGAACACTGGACAGTAATTTTAAGCTAGGGCCTGAGGTAAGCAAGCTTCATGCTTCATTTTATCTTTCTTAGCGTGCAAGGCTTATGTTAATAGTGCCTATTTTTCTTCTAACTTCCTGTATATGTTTATTTTCTAAAAACCAAATGATAAGTAATTCTAAATGGACTGCATTTTGCCCTGTGGGTTCATCATTACATTTGGAAAAGTAGTAACAACTGATCTCCAAGTAGGGAAAAGGGTTACTGAATCAGCATTTATTTTTCAGTTCTTATTATTTTGATTCTCTCCAAATATATTATTTTAGTAAATCATTAATAAGTTCTTCTCATTAAGACTAAACATAAGAATAAAGCTTAAGTGCGATGATTGTTATTTATAATTTTCATGTCAGGAAGTAAAAATTACATTTAAACAATTTTCAACTTTGGCCCTATTGACATTTTTGGAGGGATAATTCTTTGTTGTGTGTGGTGGGCAGTTTTCCTCTGCATTAAAGGATGTTTAACAGCATGCCTGGCCTCTATCCACTCAGGGGTGTCCAATCTTTTGGCTTCTCTAGGCCACACTGAGAGAAGATGAATTGTCTTGGGCCACACCTAAAATACACTAATAGTAACAATAGCTGATGAGATTTTAAAAAGAGCAAAAAAAAAAAATTCATAATGTTTTCAGAAAGTGTAAAAGTTTGTGTTGGGCTGCATTCCAAGCCGTCCTGGGCCACAGGTTGGACAAGCTTGCTCTAGATGCCAGTAGCAACCCCTCCCCTCAAGCCATGACAATCAAAAATGTCTATAGAGTTTTTTCCAAATGAACTGTAAGGGGCAAAAAGACCCCCCTGTTGAGAACCACTGCTTTTAAATATAATGACATATCTTTACTGAAATGTGAGTTGTTCAATGGACAATTTAACATGTGTTGGTTTCACACCAGATGTGATCATCTCAATGACGTATTTCCATAAAAAGTCTGAAGTTGAATCTGGCACAAAAGATTATACTAATATATTAAGATGTTTGTGATGATTTTAGTATAGGGTAAAGTTTTTGCCTATCTAACAGCATGTATTCCTGAGTTTTAGCAGATTCAGCTATAGTTGTGGAGGCTAGACATGCTTCTATGCTTCTACTAGCTCCTATACTTTAAAAATACTTTCTTCTAAATTATTGTTCAAAATCTGCAAAAATAGATTCTAGTTCACGAAGACTTTCATCTTTTTTTTTACATTAACAATTTAAAAACTTACTGAAATGCCCATGTGTTCAACATTCCAGGCTGGAAATTCTACATTCTCAATGAAGGGATCAAGTAGACAATAAGCTAACACTTCGTATTTGTAGTTCTCTACTACATACAAATCTATGTTTTTATGTAAATTATGTAAATTCTAGGAAACAGGTCTGTGATATAAGAAATTTGGGTGAGGGTTTAATGAAAAGGAAAACAGAGACATCATCTAGAAAGAAGAAGAAATCATCTGTGTGCTTTTGTTATGAAAGTCTTTGACTGAACAGCTCAACCTCTTACCAATGCATCCAGGTACACATTTGTCCATTGGACTTGCTTAGCTTTGTCTCCTGCTAAAACCATTGGTCTTCCCAAAACATCCAAATATTCCTGTTTGTGAAAAAAAGAAAAAGTTGTGGTTAAAACTAGGAATGCTGTGTTGTAATAAAAATTACAGAGAAAAAAAATCCTAGAGTTAAAAATGAATATAGAACCAAAATTATTGAGACTGAATATATAATCAGTTAATTTCTATTTTGGATACTCCCTAAGTGGTATGGCTACGTATTTTGAATCAACAATATTTGACTTATATTATTTATACAATGTATCTACTCAAGTTTTTTTCCAGTAACAATCAGAACATTGTTTTCTGTGTTACAGCCAATAAGTGAAATACGTTCCTTGTGAATTGTTTCATGTTAATCTAAACTATTTAAGGCTCTGTGATTTACTGCGTGGAATTGCAGAAATTTAAAATCATAAAGCAGCCACATACTTTCTTTCATATCACAGATTGTTTGGCTGAAATTCAAAACTACATTTAAACACATCAAAAAATAAAGGAAATACTGTGCCAAATCTAGACATCAGACTCAAATGCAGCTGCTGTTTCATTTCAACATTCAATGTATTCAGTATTCACTTCCACAAATGCCATGTTATTTATGCTAAATTTTGACTTTGTTTATTTTGTAGATCTTCAACTGTTTTTAAAAAGGAGTAGCAATTTTCATAGTAATTTATGATTATTTTAAAATAATAAATATTTAAATTAACTTAATTACTACATTCTACAAAAAGTTATTTAACAGGCGTGATTTCAACTGAATGATGTTAGAAAAATCATCTCCTTGTTGTAACTTTATTTTAGATAGATAAATAGATCCACAGGGGTTATTTGGGAGGTATTTAAGTTCCAACTAGGTCCCTGTACAATTTGTCCAGCATAATTAGTGTTTAATTTTATACATGGTACCTACAATTTGAAGACACTTTAAAAAATCATTTGCAGAATCAAGTTCAAATTACATGAAGTGTATTTTTAGAAAATTTGATTTTCTGTATTTTCTATGATATTTTTAACATCTGAGAGTAACAATATACTCATTTTATTTACCTGAGTTTTGGATGTTTGAAAACACTTGCAATGTTAATAAAATAAAACCAATATATCACCAAGATACTCAGTATTTTAATATAAGTGTAATATTACAGATCTTTTCATTCTTACTAATTTTCTCCATATTGAGCATATTTAAACCAGAAAAGAAGTATCTTATACTTGAAAAAAAAAAATTTAACAAGCTTTAAATAATCATACCTGAGTATTGATTCTTATTGCACCAATGGAAGGAATTTCATAATAATAACCTGAAATATACATATATATATTTATATATAAATGTTACTTTATAATAAAGGGCCACAAAATTATTTTATTTTATAAATATTCATAAAGAGTATTTTGAAAATAATATATTTCACTTCAAAATTGAACTAATACTAAAATATCAAAATTAAGAAAATGGTTAATGAATCTTCACAACAAACACACAGGCTTTGTGAAAAATTTCACTACATTTCTTAGTTATTATAAAATAGGTATTATTCTTCTACGAAGGAATAAGAAACATGGAATCATTAAAAATATTTTTTCATTGGATAAATTATTAAAGATACATGATGGATAATTATTATATTTATATAAAATCTTTGCCTAAATATAACTTTCAGAAAAAATTTAGGTTCTTTTTGTTGCCATGGCATCACAGTTCATTTTTCAAATTAATATATTTTTTTCTCAGTAACATCATTCTTTCCGAGTGAAAATATGAGCTCACTGCACAACATTTGAATTATCCTGGAACGTATAAGGTTTTTCAAAAACAGTAATTAAACCACCCAGAGAAAAAAATATATATGTCATACTCTCATATTTAAGCTTTATGAAATTCAGATATTGTTTCATTCCTAATTTTTCATGTAAGATTATATCTGATATATATCATTCAGTATAATTCAGTGTAATACATTATTTTATAAATGTGGAAATATAATCGATGTCTGAATTTTCATATAATGTAATGCTAATGTCAAAATTTGTATGTGTTTTCTCTATAGAAACATGTTCATAATCTTACTCTTGCCTGATTCTTATAGAAGTTAGCTACAGCTTTAGCTTATTTTAAATAACCACACCTAATAACAGCTACCAAAATATTTTTTCTTCTAGTTTACTAGAAGAAAACAGATTTGTTACCTTTGTTTTCACAGGCCATCCACTGAATAGGTCCTCTGTCATAATTGTGTTGACCAACTGAAAACGTGAATACACGTACCTGGATGAATTGAAAAATAGGTATTCATTAGGCTTAATAAAATTTAATTGAATGGCAAAATAAAACAGCTACAATTTCTATTAAAAAGAGTGTTTTCTGGTTGAATGATACGACAAAAAAAACTGAGGTCAGTAAAGACTTCAGAAAGGGACCAGAGGAAAATCACATAACCTACTGTAAACATAGACTCCAGTTGCTACATTTAAATTTGTACCTAAGTGTCCTCTTGCACATTCCTCAGGCAGGAGCATGACTAATGTTTCATTCATAGAAAGTACATCTTTCATGGCCAGGCACGGTGACTCACGCTTGTAATCCCAGCACTTTGGGAGGCCGAGGCAGGTGGACCACCTGAAGTCAGGAGTTCGAGACCATCCTGGCTAACATGGTGAAACCCCGTTTGTACTAAAAATACAAAAAATTAGCTGGACCTTGTAATACATGCCTGTAATCCCAACTACTTGGGAGGCTGAGGCAGGAGAATCGCCTGAGCCTGGGAGGTGGAGGTTACAGTGAGCCGAGATTGTGCCATTGCACTCCAGCTTGGGCAATGAGAGTGAAACTCGGTTTCCAAAAAAGAAAGAAAGAAAGAAAGAAGGAAAAAAGGAAAGAAGGAAAGAAAGAAGAAAGGAAGGAAGGAAGGAAGGAAGGAAGGAAGGAAGGGAGGGGAGGGAGGGAAGGAAGGGAAGAAAGAAAAGAAAAGAAAAGAAAAGAAAAGGAAAGAAAAGAAAAGAAAATACATCTTTGAGGTCCAACCTCACTTCACCTGTCTTACATGGTTACACATGTTATCTACATAGCGAGCCACTGCAAAAAAGTTTATTTCCCTATTTCATAGGTATGTAGTAATGAAAAACTATTCAGAAAGGTCATTGTACTTCAAAGTTGCTTAAGGCAATTAAACTCTGTGATGGTTTTCACCATGGAAATAATTAGGATGCACACATATGATTATGTTGTTAGTATATTACTTATTTTCTATAAAAGTTGCCTGACACATGTAAGTAAGCTCCTACGATTTTTAAATATAACCAAAATATTGACTGTTCCTAACATGCTATAAAGTTTGAAAATATTTTAAAATCAATGGAGAGTTTTTATAATTTAAGTATTTATTGAAAGCCACTAAATTTAAATAATAGTGTGAAAGTATAAAAGGTAAATTCCATGAGGTCAACCTATACTTAATAAAATGATTTTTTCATATATTGATTTTTACTAATTTAGTAATCTAAGTAAACCAACACTCTCAACCCAACATTTTAGCTATTTCTAAATATAGACGTGCAGAAAATCACTTTTCCATGAGTTCAAATTCCAGTTTGAACTATGTTAAGAGCTTTTCCCTAATTCATGTTGATTGACTATTTGAATGGACATTTTCTAATTGTTTTATGTCTTTTAACTGTTGCACATGATTTCAGAGCACAAATCTCAAAAGAATTTCACATCTGTTCTCTGTTCTTTCACTGGTCTTGGCCACACAGATCACATTATTACAATCCCTGTCCCCAAAACGTACATCAGGGATGTTGCTATTTCATTTGTAAGGTTTTAGGCGAGCCACTCTTACATCATCCAGGTTTGCCTTAGCTGGTTATGTAAGAAGCCACATGATGAACATAATCCGAGTTTTAAATACTTCAAATTGTAAGTATAAATGACTGTTTCTAAGTGAATGATAGAAGTTGGTTTTTTTCTCTCTCTCAATCTATCTTTCTCTCCAGGAATTCCCAATCAAAATGCAATGGTTTCATTTTCTTTAATTCATCAGTTAGGTCATTTTTGGGTCTGTCTATAAATTTCAACGTAGGGTTACTGCTTACATAGTTGAGCTTACTTCTAAATGGAAATATTTTTATAAGCAGGTTGACCACCCTAACTGATAATTCAATTTAAATGCCATACCCTAAACAATCATCAAATTAATTCAAGTCAGGGAAAAAGTCCAGATGCTCCAGAAAGCACTGGGAGTTCTCCCTCACAACTAACATTTGAACCCATACCTCTAATTTTCAGCTGAAGCATGGCTTTGTCTAGAAGTTCCTGTTACCACAACAATCATCTAGTAAAACATTTTTCATAAAATACTTTCAGTAAAAAAATAAACAAGACTATATGAATCTTATATCTATGTCTCAGAAAGGCAAGCATTTCTAATAACATCGAGGCTACACTCAGATTCACACATATGATTATTTGACTGATGTTATCATTCAAATAGTCCAAATAAACACTAGGCAAAAAACAAAAACAAACAAAAAAAAAACTTGTTGCTTTATTTATTTTGCTATAAAAGTTTCACTTAACTTCTATGTGTTTGCTTACATGGACCCCTCAGAAGTTTTCAAAATTAAGGTATTTGGGATCAGGGCTGGGGGTAGTGCACATTCTGTCAGTTTTAATTATAATTTTTGAAACATGCCAAACTCTTTTTCTTTTTCTCACATAGGTTCTTGGCTACTTAAATGTAAGATGCATTAACTAACTGAATCATTCCCATATCATCAATGTATAATTTGTACCCCTTTTCTCAATTTTCATTTGCCTTGTAGAGATTTTTAAAGACATTATTTTCCTGAAATTTTATTCCAAGTGTTTAGTAAAATCCTAATTGCAAATGCAGCCTTCTTTATAATTTATACAACTGCCTTACCATTACAATATTTACACAATCTAATATACCCAAGATCATTTTGTCTTGGGTTTATGTATATATATTTATATACATACACACACATACAAACACATACGCACACTGGTATTTAATGATTTTATGGATTATATAGATTATCTTAGAGCTTTCTATAATGATCTTATAAATATATATTCAGTTGAGAAAAAAGTTTAATATAAGTCATTCAAAACTTAGGATCTACTGTAGTACCTTACACACATTATTCATATGACAGTAAAAAATTAAAATAAAAAAATTTCATTCCTTAGTGCCATACTTGTCTTTTCTTTGTACATTTAAGCTAATTCCATAAGAATTTTAACTTCATTGATTTCATAAACATTCACATTACATATTGTATAGTGTGTATACATAATGTATTGGTTAAGTTTAAAATAATTTTTGTGTACACAAATTTCTACTTGGAATTGCAAATGGTTTCATTTCTCCTATTCCATACTATACTACTGCCACCATGTGGAATAGTCAATGAACTAAATTCCAGATGCTAAAGTCCATAGAGGTGATTGATAACCCGCTTCTTCTATTTTTTTTTTTTTTTTTTTTTACTTCTTTAAACTTACAGTTCTTGTTTAGCCATAATTTTGGAGTTATAGAAAAATAAAGTGATTTCTTCAAATATGTACAATTAAAAATTTAAGGTAAATTACATTCTCAAAGATGTGTATTTGTATAGTTCTTTTAAGTACATTTGCATGATCTTACATAAAAACAAAATGACATATAAAAATAACTCAAAATGCTTAACTGGTAGTCACACAAGCTAAATATTTCATCTTAATTCTCACTTAAGCAAATCACTTACATGAGAGCATATCTACATCCGGGCTAAGGTGACTTTTGTGGAGAAAAAAATTCCTTTACTCATGCCTAGTAGTATATTTATAATCACAACACTAGGTTCATATAACAAATGCACATGAAATTTTTCTGTTCTGAGTAAAATGTTCCTAGAAAATTAACTAAATGTTTCTCAACATGTATGATTTTAGATAGGTTCATCTTTCAAAATGTTCACTTCTATGAAATTTTCATCATAGAGCCACATGAGACATATACAATAACAGATGGCTTTGACAAATATTTTTCGTAATGCTGGAGTACAGGTCTTCAACAGAAATACAGTGGGAAGCTAGTATTGAATAGATGTTGGATTGGGTTTTAAAAGTACCAAGATTATACAATTTAGCATCTATTGTAGTACATTACTCATCAATGGAAACAAACATTTGTTAAATGAAGAACAAGTGAATAGACACTTCAGTGGTTTCTACTTCTTACCAGAGGGATCTAAGATAGACTTTGGTGTTATCCAACATATCAATAAGTTCATTACAGTATGTGGTAAGAGCAGGACCAAAACTGGGCTATTAGTTGTCTTGCATTTTGCAATTTGGGCTGTTTCACTATACTCATATCATCATACATTCTTAATCTTTTTATTTAATACGAAATAAGCAGATATCCTTACTGGAGGTAAACAACTTTTTTAGGCAAAATAAAGTGTACTTAGTACACTTATTTATGTACTATGTTATTCCTAGAAAATAAAAAATTCTTATAATTCTGGATTCATGCATAGTCATAGAATTGTAAAAGCAGTAATTTGGGGAGCAGACAATAAAATTAAACTTAAGGCCAGGTGTGGTGGCTCATGCTTATAATCCCAGCACTTTGAGAGGCTGAGGTGGGTGGATCACTTGAGCTCAGGAGTTCGAGACCAGCCTGGGCAACACAGTGAGAACCCATCTCTACTAAAAATACAAAAATTAGCTGAGCATGGTGGATTACACCTGTAATCCTAGCTACCCTAGGGTGCTGAGGCAGGAGAATCACTTTAACCCAGGAGGTGGAGGTTGCAGTGAGCCTGGATCATACCACCGCACTCCAGTCTGGGCAACACAGTGAGATTCTGTCTCGGTTGCAGGTGGAGGGGGTGGGGGGTGGAAATAAACTTAAAAATTAAATTCCTGGCCAGGTACAGTAGCTCATGTCTGTAATCCCAGCACTTTGGGAGGCTGCGGCAGGCAGATCACGAGGTCAGGAGATCAAGACCATCCTGGCCAACATGGTGAAACCCTGTCTGTACTAAAAATACAAAAATTAGCTGGGCATGGTGGCGCACATCTGTAATCCCAGCTACTTGGGAAGTTGAGGCAGGAGAGTTGCTGGAACCCGGGAGGCGGAGATTGCAGTGAGCTGAGATCACACCACTGCACTTCAGCCTGGCCACGGAGCGAGACTCCGTCTCAAGAAAAAAAAAAAAAATTCTTATGGCCCTATGGCTTTTTAACATAGTTAT